TATACATGTTTAAGCCAGAATGATTTGACATTTAAATATTATTTCCCTACGACTTTAAGTACGGGGGAGAATCTGTAATGCTGTGGGCCTGTTTCTCTTCCAAAGAGTCTGGGAAACTCGCATGGTGTCAGGAAGTCTTAGAAACACCTAAAATACTCAAAATTAAAATTTGATGGTTTTAGCTGGGAAACTGATCCAGAAGGATAAAGATCCAAAAACATGCATTTAACCCAGAATCATCAGACATAAAAATCCATCTGATCAAACATAAATCCTTCAGTGGGGTGAGCTAAGGAGAGCAGCAGGGACCGTTCTCTGGTTTAGATGGACAGTGATATTTTTTCTAAAAATTTACATGGAAATCATTTAAAAAAGACAGTTCTTAATACATTTTCCAACTTTGATGAGTCCTTGAAGAGTCAGTTTTGTTCATGGAAGAGCAGAAGGTGAAAGAATGAAAGAATAATTTTGATTCCCTATTTTTTTTCATAGAATCACTTGTAGGATGCTGGTAGCCAACATGCAAACCTCTCCAGATTTACATCTAGCTGATTGGCTGCTTGACGCTCAACACTTATTGCTCTAAACAAATAAATTATTATTTTCCTCATATATGTGAAAAACTAGGGAGAAACTGGCAACATTAATTAAACCTTTTTCAAGGTGTTTTTTTTTTTTATGAGAATGAGTGACAAACTGTCAAAACTGCTTCTGTTCCTTTGAACAATCTCAGCTTCATGTCGTATAAAGATTGTTTCCCTACATTTTTAATGCTGTGCTTCTGTTTTTGTTTACTTCACTAAGTGATTGGTTGAAGATTAATGGAGCGTAGTCCCTAAGGGTAACCTGCTGGTTATGATGACGTCTCCAGTGTAATTCAGGTCTTTAAGTGGGCGGAGCAATAGAGGTTTCCTATCTGAACGCAGCGTGGCATCCATCTTTTCCAGTTTCAATCCTCTCCCTGTGCGAGACATTAAAGGATTCCTGAATGGAGCGTGACTCCCCTCCCTCCCTCCTCGTCTCCTCATCATCAGTCACCATGGTGACTGAGCGCCATCTCTCCCCTCTATATTTACTCGGTTGCTGTAGTGACAGCCCAGGCAAGCGCTGAGGTTGAAGGGGAGTGAACTTCTGAGTTAATGTAGAGCTGGTTTAATATTTTGGCCTAAAACTCAAGAGATGATGGGAGGCTGGCCGGCTTCTGGAGGGTTCAAAGGAGGGGTAACCATTAAAAATCAGCGCGGTCCGAATAAAGAAAATCAACAACCAGTAAAGGTCCGGAGACATTTTTAATCATAATCTGTTACTTTAAACAGAATTTAACATTGAAATAAAATGAGATGTTTATGCATCCATGTTATACTTTGACTTTTTGAATAAAAAAAAAAAAAAATATTTTTTTTTCCATTTTAAAATCTAAAGTGTTTTTGAAGTAGAGGACAACAATCGTTCAGTTTGGTATATAGACAATTTCCTGATTCACATATTTTATAAAACACCTGAACTGACTTTAACTGGCTTTAAATCTGGGTTTGAATGGAGACAAAGCTATTCTCAAGCACATATCAAGGTGCTCATTTTGAGCCTGGATCCATATTGGCTCCTGGATCCAGAGCGATACAAGTGAAGTTAGTTACTGCCGTTAGACAACATGCGGTAACTTAGAAATGTTTTAAATCAGGTTGGGTCCGGATTAGCCAGCAGGTGGGTCCTGATCCATGACCTCTGCCTTCGAGGAAAGATCTCATTAATCAGGTGGAAATAATATCTCAGACTTTATAGGATTAATTCTCTTCTGTTATTAGAAGGTAACTTTTTAATGACGGCGGGAACAGAACCTGAATAAAAAAAACACAAGGATCTAGAAATTATAGCATGCTTGGTCAGTAACATCACTGAGTTTTACATGATGCCTTTAAAGCCAGTGGAGCAGGAGAAAGAATGGATCCAAGGTTTTATGCTTTTGCCAAATTTTGACCCAAATGTTCCAGATAGAGCTGAAACTCATTGAACTGTGACTCCATTTTCTTTTCTGAGCAGAAGAGAGGGTAGCATTTCTTTTTTGGACCCCTTATGTTCCATCAGAGCTCCAATAAAGGGATTTTAGTTTTCTCCTAACAGGGACAGATAAGTCGTTCCTGCCCTAAATGAGTCTGGATTTCTTAGAAAAGATTGTTGTATCAGAAAAATTTCAGATACTCCGGATAAACCTTGGTTACTTTGTGAAGCTGTGTTGCCATGCATCAAAGTGACGCATCTGTTGCTTTAAACGGAGCATCTGCTCTTCTAATCCCTGATCATAAAGGCCCACATTTCACAAGCCTGAACAAACTGAGAGCTTCTATTAAGTCAGTGCGGAACAAGTCGGAGCTGTGACGTTTCCCCATCAGCCGTTTGTTAAGGTCGATGAGGGTTTTGTTTCTCCAAGAAGTCCTGCGCTGAACAGAAATAGATTTAAATGGCTGCAATCCAAAAACCAATCCGACAAACACTCCTGGCAGACTTAAGGATCAGAAGTAAATAACAGCACATGTAGCTGCCATGGCTGCAGCTGTGCTTCCATTTTTATCTCCATCCTTCAGTCATCGTCACTCTCAATCACATCTTTTTTCATTTCAGGTCTGTGCTTCTTCAAACTCTCCTGTTTTGATGTTAATTTGAAACCAGCTCAAGCCATGCCAACAGTTTTCAGTGGTGCTAATGTCTTTATTCTGGGCGTAGAAATGTGTTGTTTCCATCTGTGCTGAATCAGTTTGAGCAAAAAAAGAAAATAAAACTGTAAAGTATATCCTTCAGCAAGCTGTAAAACATCACAGATAAACACACTCATTTTATTAAAAAATAAACTATATATGTGATAACGCTTTAAGAAGTGGTGGAGTTAAAGGAAAAGTCAGCAAGGAATGATCAATGGATCATTATTTAAACCTAAAACTAATAAGTTTCCGGTGATTTAATAAATTTATCGTCAATCACTAAAAAACTAAAAATAATATTTTCCATTGCGATCACTGAGTCCGGGACCGGCCAAATATAGTAACACCTCTCCTGACATCTTTCGGCTGTGATGTCACGGTGCGGTAAGTCTAGCGCTATTCTCCCCGCTTTACAAGCAAAATAAATGGGAACTAATAGACACATCACCATTGAAATTCACCAGAGCTATAGTTAAACTGACTGTAAATAACCATAACCTTTTTCTTTTTGCAGCAAATGAAGTTGAGTTCTGAGTTGAGTTCATTTGTTTTGTACACACTTTTTCTTTCACAGTGTCAACAACTTCCGGTTTGAGCTAAGTGCTTTTATTTTGTTAAGCTTTTGTGTTTCTGGTCCCGTGCAATGTAGTGGCGGTTAGCATGTTTACTCATACGTACGGCATTGGATTAGACGCGGAGCTACGGTATCATTGAATATAGTCCTGGCAGCCCCTACGAAGAGGCAAAAAGTGTGTTATTCATTTGTATAATAGCATCTGCAAGTGGTTATTTTTGCACAAGTTGAAGCATTTAAAATGGTTTAATGTGAAATGATAAGCTGTATAAATGTTATGTGTTTCAGCGCTTACTGCGGTGATATGTGGATTTAAAGACTACAGCTTATGGAATATGACTCTAAAGGAATTAAAAATCCATAAAACCATCAGTGAAGTCTCATCCTTGATTGGGGGCAGCATCCTACACTGACAATGCCCACGTGCATGGCAGTTCGATGTTGTAATACGCTGGATAAAAATGACCATGATTCATGATCTACGGGTTCGTCGTTGGATCGCCAACTTGAAGAAGGAGGATTTGCCATCGAACTTCTGGCCAGAGAAAAAACACGTAATCTGTAGCCAACATTTGGAAGAAGAATGTTTTCAAGGTGACTTGGATAATAACGTGTTGTGACAAACACCAGATACAGCACTGGGACTTGATCAACAGCCGATACCGCACCGTGACGTCACCAACCAGTAGGTGGCAGTAGTGTTCTCTGACAAACATGGATGCCCACATTCAAATGAAAATTACTCTTAATTAAAATCATTTCTAATTTATTGAACAGTATGTAATAATTTCATATTTAAAGTATTTTCAGAAGTTTGAAATCTGAATATGACCGGACCTTTCCTTTAAAAGATGGTTCCTGAAGTGCGGAACGATTGGAGGGTTTTCATCAAGTCATATTTCTCCAACAGAGAACAATACTTAACATCAGGTATGACAACAACTGACCTATTTCTTATTCCCCCAAAAGATTTACTTAAACTTTAAACAAAAGCGGATAGAAGCAAAGTGTTTCTATAAACCAATAATATTGGCAGG